TTAACAAACGGGCATTATACTATTAATAAAACGCATTTTAACAAAGCATCGCGAATAGTGCAATATTGTGGGAATTTTTTTTTACTGGACTGCGCGCGCCCTCTTCCAATTTTCGGCTCCTCGAGCATCTCTTTTACGTTTTGCAATTAGAAATTGTTGGAAGCCCGCATATAACTCTGCCAAAAAGGATATTTCAAGTCTTCTAGCCTATTTAAAACTCCGCGCAAACGCAAAAACTAAACAAAATTGACTTTTCCAAACTTTTTCCTTTTTTTTCCATCACGTTCTCTTGATATTCAGTCCTTGATTCACCTAATTTTTCCATTCCAGATGGGAGACCTCGGGATTGCCGTAGACTCCCAGTGATGATGGCGCTGAATCCAACTACGAATCGGTCAAACGACGGTGAAACTGGTGGATGCTGATCAAGACGCCGAGACGTTGCGCAGAAATCAAGAATACTGGCGAAATCCTCTTGACCCGTAAATGCTTCGGGGACATTGGCATCGAGGACGCTGACAAACTGATCGCACTGACCACTGAGATGCAAACGCACGGCCTGCGCATGTTTCCGCACAATTATGGAGCATTGCCGGCGAAGAAGCTCGAGTTTGTCGCCGAGTCGTTGAAGCTGCTTCACGAGGGAAATACTTACTTCCAACCGGATGTGCGATATCGTCTCCTGATGGGCATCAAGAAGGAGGAGGAAGGTGATGTAGACGCGAACGAAAACGTCAAGAAAGAAGTCGATAGGGAACGAGGTGAGCAAGATCGGAGAAGACGAGATGACGCGGCAGAGGAGCCGCCAAAGAAGAAACCCCGCTGGCGGCAAAAATGACGTGGAGCGGCCAAAAAGCGGCGCGGAAGAGCAAAGAAACTGTAAGCAATCTGTTTTCGCTTTTTTGCACACTTTATTATGATATTTTGGAATGGTAAGGATAGGATTGTGATAAATTTGTTGTTGAAACTGGCTTCATTTCCAAAGCAATAACAGCGTAGATACGATAGTTAACTTTATTAAGCACGAATAAGCAAGCATTAGCAAAGTGGGGGCTGGTTTCTCATTTGGTCTTCCGCGCCGACCTGACGGCGTCCTTGCTGTCGTTGTTGTTGCCGGGCTAGGATCGGTAGATATGGCTTAGGACCGCCAACCGATCTTCACACAATACGCCGAAGCCATTTCTCGTCAACCATCAACGCGGTCAGCGTCACGTATTCTTTGCCCGCCTCCTGAAATTTGTTATAGGAAACGCACCAAAGCTCTTACTTCAATATCCGTCAGCTCGCGTTGGATGAGATTCTTTATGGGCTCTATTTCGTTGTAGATGACCTCGTAGTTGGCGAGGTTCTGAGAATAGGGTCTTCGATTTTGTTGCGGTGGCTTATAATTGGGGAGGAGGCGCAAGGTGTCTTGTCCGACTCGTCCGTCTTGTCGGGCGGGTGGCTGACCGAGCCCTAAATTGGCTATTTTAGGCAAAAAGTGGTGCCAGCATGCCTGCGTCGCTTCGGTGCACCCTTTCGTCTTGTGCGCTCGCTTGGGCTCTTTCTAAATGTTATAAATGCGTGAATGCATCGATGGCAAGACGAAACGAAGAAATGCAAAAGGTACAATTTTACAAACCACCGGAGGTTTCTTCCTCTCTTCATCCGGAGCTGTTCGGCTGTGTGGGCTGACTGCTCGGGAGGGGCGAGCTGGAGAGTTTAGGGTGTGACTGCGCCGATGGTCGCGGCTTTTTGGGGGCTGCTCGGGGTGGTGGTGTTGCCAATGGGACCAGCTCTTCTTGGGACCTTTGCACATCTTTCGACCTGGAATTTGAAACGAAAATGCAGATTCATGAGTTTTTGGACTTACCGAAGTTAGTTTAGACTGGATAAATTTTAAGAAAAAGTATGAAATGGATTAGAGAGTTGATTTTTAGGGATTTATACTGCATCCGCGATGCTTATCGTGTTTCCGACCATTTTATGTAGATTTTAAGGAAGTAAATTTGCTTTCCAGGAAAGTTGCAATTTTTCGTTGTTTGACGATACTGTAGGCGGTTTCAGGTTGCCATCCTGACGGCGCTTTTGACTGGTGGCCGAAAAGCAAACACCCAAAAAAAGGCGTGAAACGGCAGTCGGCCGTCGACGCTTTCGTCCTTATCAACTGGTCGAAGCTCGGGGAGAACTGATCCTCGGTCATAAGTAGGGAGTTCGAGATCGCTGGGTATTTTTGGGGATTTTTTGGCGCATAAATCATAGCGTTTTTTCTTGGAGTTTTGTACGACTTGGAGGCTGGGTTTTTAAGAATTGGTTGAAAAACGTGAAGACTACGTCGAACCTCGAGGGGGAAGTTAATTTTTCTAGTTTACCGCCTATAACCACCGATTAAAATTGTATTCTTCCCCCACATTTTTTACCAAAATTCGGATTTTTCGACGATTTTTTTTGTTTTTATGAGCTTTTTATCTCTAAAAAACGTTGTCCATGCCATAATGGTTTCTGTTTATGTTACAGGGCGGAATTAGTCGGAAAAACGCCTTTCCCGGTAAACGGGACGCACCATAATTTCTAGAATTATCATATCGTAAACCATCCCTTCATAGATACTTTTAAATTGCATTAAATTTTGTTATTCTAGTTTAAGTTGTCTAGACATGCATTTTTAGTCCTTTCCCATTTCCATTGAACGGCTGGAGCAATACGTAGGTCGTAAAGTGACACCTAACGGCCACCTGTAACCGCTCGATGGCTCGATGCTCATCCCCAAGGTTAAACCGTATTTTTTCGCTTTTCTATTTCTAAAAATCACTGGTTTTGGGATACCCTGCTCAAAAAATAAATTAATACAGTCGATTCAGCTTTCGCCGCCATTTTCACAGCACCCATTCCACCCTGAGCCGCCTATCAGTTTGCTGTTTATTTGTGAGGTGCTCACGCTGGTGCTCTAAAAATTGATCTCGCATCAGCCGGCACAAAAAAATGGGCGAATACAAACATCATTGAGACGCGCTCTGTGGGGGGCCCTTCTTTTCTGCCGGACTCATTCCATTTTTTGCCGGCTTTGGAAGGAAAAGCCGTCGGGTAAAGTTGGTGAAATTTTGTGTCCGGGCATTTCGGAAATCGTGGGGGTCGTCTTGGTTTCTGATGCCGCTAATTCGCAGGGCTAGCGGAAGCTCGGGTTCAATTCTTGGTTATTGTGAGATCGGATGTCGTAACTGGATCGTGGATAAGTTCTTGCCTTCCAGGCACAAGGCCCGGGTTCGAACCCTGACTGGTGAGCAGAGTTTTGCTTTTTGGCCATATTTGAGGGCGACGAGATTCCGGTGCTGACATGTTAGCGAGGGGGGGGGGGACTGAGGTGGCTTTCACCAATCTTTCCGCTATACATACCTCGTAATAACAATGATGTATTTTTATACCGTTTTTAAACGTCTTGGATCGCTAGACAGTTAGGAAAATATTTTGCAAATTCGAAAATTCGCACTTCAGGCCTTTTAGTGAAAACAATGAAAAACATTATTAAAATAGTTGGTGATTTGAATGAAAAAAAAGGAAATAGATGATTTATGGCTGTATGAGTTTCTATACTAAAAATCTTTAGAAAATACTATAAAACAGATTTATATAACGTTTTGGGCCATATGATATTATTAGGGAAAAATTTGGATTCCCCCTGCCAATCCCCTCCGCTAACAGACCAGCACCCTGAAATCTCTCGGATTTTTTGAAAATAAAAACTGCAAAATCCGGGTTTAATCTTCAAATTGAGCAACGCGAGTCTTCGTGCAAAAACCGCCCCCCCGTTAACAGTCCAGTACCCAAAATTGTATAGTCAGGTTTTGCGCGATACCTGAAAAGTATTGCCTTTACCATACCGGAAATCGCCTTTGACTTTGTATCTTGAACTCCCCGGTTCCCAAAGGTCCTGCTCCTGCTCCTCCCCTACGCGCGACATGTCACAAATTTCTTGAGGGTAATTTTGAAGAATGGGCCATGGGTAGGCTCCCCGGAGGCTTCATCTCACTCCGTGATAGGCTCCGTCTTTTGTAGCCGTCCCCGAACGGTCCTGACCAACTCAGCCAGACAATCACAAGAACCCACGACGGAGGAGTAGAGGGTCCTCAAGCTCCTTCCATCATCCACCTCCCCCTGCACATGCTCCTCATCCCACAGCCTACATCTGGTATCCTCCTCCTCCGATCGAGGCGCGCTGTACAGGGGCAGTGGGCTGATCGGCTTTGACATGTTGTTCGGAGACGCTTTTCACGAGAGACGCTGGCACCCAGCCACGCAGACTTACCCAAAAACATTTAACTTATTACTTCGACACCCTCGTTCCCTTCGACCCGCCGAGGGCGCATCGCGTCATTTTGAGGGCGTTCTGAAATGACAAGTAGTTTCTATAGATTTCATCTAGTATTTTTGCGGGTTGCTTTCTAAAATGTCGAAATCATACCTTTGAGACTTCCTAATTTCAAAATTTGTAAAGTCGAAAGTCATAATTTAAAAACTTATTACTGTCGAAACTCATAATTTCAAAGTGCGTACGCTCGAAATTTCATAATGCAAATTTACATAGGCAGATTTCAGCAAAAACCTCCCAAATCTTACAAAAAATTAAAAATATTGGAATTTGCGAATTTATCAATTTCGACATCATGATAGCAAATCCCCTTTTACTGATATATACTTTTATCCAGACGTCATTTTTGAGGCATTGCTTCCGGGACTGGACTGTTAGCAGGGGGGGAAACCAATTTTTTTCCGCAGTAATCTCGTAAGGCCCTATAATATAAAGTCCCTGATTTTTATGGACATTATTATGCACAGTTTTTAACGGCAACAAGATTCATCAAAATATGAAAATTTTGTGGTTTTTGCTCAAAAATAATTTATTTCTTTTTTGCTCATATTACTTTTTCTCTGAATCCAATTTTATGCCGCATTTTTCCTTCTTTTTCACAAACGCTTAAATTTTTACTATTTTAATCTATGAACTTTTCCAGTAAAACACAAAAATGGTGCTGGCTGACGTGATAGCGCTGGCGATGGTGCTGATCAATTTGGTGTGGAAGATCAGTCCGGGCCGTCTGGTTCAACGTGTTCGATGGGCGTTTCATGCCGGTCAAGGACCTTCGTGAAAGGTGGGTTCTCAAGTTTTTTTATTAAGCTACGCGAGGAGTCATTGTACGCTGTTTCTTTTCGTGCGCTTGACGGAGATTCTCATTTTTACTCCTTGAAGACGCTGAATACAGCGTTTTTGGCCCAAATAAAGCGTCATTTATTCATAACGGAATTGGTCGGTTTAAAAGAGGTTGACTAATTTCTCAGCCTTAAACTGCAAAAAAATATGATTTATTTAGCAAATCATTTCCAGAAAGTTCTACTAACGGGCGGGGCGATGGGGTTGGGGCGTGAGATGTGCCTGGCGCTGGCGACGTGAAGGGCGTCGAGCTGATCATCTGGGACATTGACTATGAAGGGTGCCGAGGAGACGGCACGGATGGCACGCACTAATGGCACAAGGGACAGCTGGTTATCGCCATCTCTCCAAGTTTTCAAGGGCTTTCGTTTCCAAAATCTCTCCGGGACCCAACTTAGCCGAAATTCGTGGTTTTGGGGTCTTTTGAGCTGTTTCTGTCAATATTTCAGGTATCTAGATCAGATAAAAGCTCACAGTATTCAGACGTACATAAACACCCTCATCACCCCATGGGTACACTGTTCCAAAATAGGTGCGCCCGCCACCTCACTTTTGTGAAGTCAATGTGGGGTGATGACAGGACATCTCGGGCTCAATCTCAACCAGGAATTTTTGGACTCACCCGCCCTCTTATGTGCTGATTTCCAGGCACATCATGAGACGCGTGGATCCGGCCAGCCGAACAGACATCCGAGGCCGCCGCCAAGGAGCTCAAGGAGAAGCACGCCGAGCCGGACATTAGTGCGTGAATAGTATACATATAGGGTTGGGTTATTAGAAGAATAGTGGTGATATGCAAGCAATTTTGAGCTCTTTTTAGTCATTAACAACGCTGGGATCGTTCAGCAAAAGTACTTCGCCTAGAAGAAGGACCACTTGATCGAGGCGACGATTCGGGTCAATTTGTTGGCGCATTTCTGGGTAAGAACCCTGTTGGTAAACTGTTTTATTCGGCTGTATTTGACCTTAACTTTAATTATGACTGTATTTAACTTAACTTTCATCGTTAAAATTTATTTAGGTAATGGACTGTGTGCGAGGGGGGGAGGGGGCAGGGAAAAACAAAATTTTTCGAATTAATCCCGTACGACCCTATAACGAAAATCGACCATTTTTATAGGATTTTCTACACTTTTAGATATAAAAAACTCTAGAAAATTTTATGTTAAAAAATTTGAATTGTCCGGAATTATAAAAGCCCTTTTTATAACGGTTTAGCAATGAAACACCACTAAAACAACTTTTAAAAAGTTCTATATTAGCAACAGTTTATTGGCAAAGACAAAAATTATTTTCGAATCCTAAAAGCCACCCCCCCCGCTAACAAACCAGTACCTTGATTTCAAAATTCTCAACTTTTCAGGTGGCCAAGGCGTTCCTCCCCGGCCTGCTCCGCCGCGACTCCGGCCACATCGTTTGTATCGCATCAGCCGCCGGGCTTTTCGGCTGCTCAGGTGGGTTTTTAGAGCCAGGGAACTAGCAGAGATTTGGCGATTTTTTGCGCTTCCACTGCCCAATTTTGTCGTAATTTCATTTTCAAAATTTCAAGGTCTTTTTCGAAATTTCGAAAAACTAAATTTCGACAAAATGAAATTTCGACACGATGAATTTCGACAAAATGAAAGACATGCCCATTTTCAGGCATGTCCGACTACAGCGCTCCCAAATCGGGCGCCATCTCCCTGCAAGAGGCCCTAGAAGTGGAGTGCAAGGTGTTGGGCAAGGAAGGCGTCCGCTTCACGACTGTCTGCCCAGGCTACGTCGCTACTCGGCTCACCTCGGCTGATAATCTACCGTAACCAGGCCTACTGTATTTTCACCATTTTTTTTAGGGCCGCCCAGACGAAGGAGCTGATGAACCCAACTTTTGTTGCACAGCGGATAGTCCGGGCTGTGGAGCAAGAGCAGGGGCTGTTGTGTCTGCCGGCGACGTTCTACTTCTTGATCGCGATTAAGGGGTAGGTAGGGGTGGAAAGTGGAGCTAGTCGTAGCTGAGAGCCAAAAACCGGTTTTTCAACTTTCACCATTTGCTTACACTACGCTACGATGCTAACGTCTCAGCGGTATCCGTCTATAGGAGCTGCGCGTAGCTGAGGGCTCGAAAAAAAGTGTTTTTTTCACAATGTCAATGGCCGCTACACTACGATATGCTAGGCTACGCCACACTACGCTATCTACGCAACGCTACGATATTAACCTTTAACAGGCATCCGTCTATAGGTGCCGCGCGTAGCCCGGTGCCAAAAATAATTTTTCGAATCGTAAATTTTCAACCGTCACTACGTTACGCTACGTTACACTACGCTGCATACCAACCACTATAAAAGCATCCCAGACCCGGTGCCCCGAAAACTTGGATTTCCATGGAAGCGGATATATCGGGAAATGGGATCCCATTTCAGCGTGCTGCCCCGCAGCCTATACCAACGACTTCTCGTGGCGCTGCTGTGGAAGGAGCAGCAGGAGGAGAACACTTTATACGGGTATGTGAAGGGGATACAAAGGTCTCTCTCACGCTCTCTCTCGCTCGCACTCTCTCTCTCATTCAAACTTTAAAAACTGCAAATTTTCAGCTACAACCGTACCCCTCACCCCTCGCAGACGCCACCCGTCAATCCGTTGAACAACAATGTCTTTAAGGGCGAATAAAATTTGTGTGTATTTAGTGCAAATAGCCAAATAAAGTAATTTTCTAATTTTTGGATTATTGTATGCTGGACACATTTTAGGGGCGTCACCACAGGGAAAGCTTAAGAATAGGCTTGACTTGCGCTTGGGCATAGACATAGGCTTGGGCTTTGCTTAGGCTTAGGCCTAGCTCAGGCTTAGACTTAGCTTAGGCTTGACTTTGGCTTAGCGTAGGCCTAGCTTCGGAATATCAAATTTTAGGTTAGGCTTACTTAGCGTAGACTTAGTTTTGGTTTAGCTCAGGCTTAGCTTAGGCTTAGCTTAGGCTTAGCTCTTAGGCTTAGCTTAGGCTTGGCCTAGACTTCATGGAAGTATTCATTCCTCATTACGGCATAAATCCTCGGGGGCCCAGATCTGCTGTTGGCTGTTCCCCGTGGGAGTAGTAGGGAGAGGGCCCATATTCATTAGAGCGTGGCGGGGCCCAGAGGGGCGCTGAAGAGCCGCGAGAGGACCCATTAGGGCCCCTGGACAGGTGGGCGAGAGAGTGGAAGGGAGAGAGAGAGAGAGAGAGAGAGAGAGATGCCGCTAGACGAGACGCGCGAAATCAAGGGACCCAACGGGCCCTGGAGGGCTCAGCCCCAGAAGAGGACAGCGAGACAGCGCGAGAAGCGAGAGAACCTAGGGCCCAGCCCGTTAAGCCCCCACCCAAGGCCCTGGGGCCCAGCAAGAGGGCCCAGACGCCCCAGGCAACTTGTAGAACCCCGCGCTGAAAAATTCGAGAAATGAGGCGGAGGCGGGGCGAGACTTCGCTGGGGTAGACAAGTTTGGGCCCACGCGGCGAGAGCGAGAGAGAGAGAGAGAGGAGAGAGAGAGAGAGAAGAGAGAGAGAAAGGAAAGAGAGAGCACCAGCTAGAGAAAGCGGAAAGGGGAGAAGCGTTGGCTGGTGTGGCCGGCGGGGTGGCTGCACCTCGTCGCCTCGAGCCATCTCCGCTTCGCGTAAATCTTCGGGGAGCCCACGACGGCGAGCAGTACGACGACGTCAGGACGATGGCCAGCAAGTAAGTAATAAATTTAATATTATTAATGTGAAATAAGGTATTATATGATTTTTAAAGCTGGAGGAAGTTTTCAAGGACCAAACGGCCAAAATAAACAAAATCGCAGCCCTTTTTATCCCCTCGAAGGGCTATTGATAGGGTTGTTATACGAGTTGATTCGTTGACGAATTGATTCGTCAAAATTCAAATGAGTTGATTCGGCAGCGAGTTGATTCGAATAAGCCCCGATTCGCAACCGGCGAATGGAAATTTCAACGATTCAATTCGCCAGCGAGTTGATTCGAATCGCGATTTGATTCGCGGCTAATTTGATTCGTTGCTAATGAATCCGCAGCCAAACGAATCAATTCGCTGACGAGTCGATTCGTCAGACGAGTTGATTCGTTGGCGAATCGATTCGTTGCCCACGAATCAGAATCGAAACGAATCGATTCGTCAACGAGTTGATTCGTTTGCCGTTCTGACTCGTCGGAAGTTGTTATATATTAATGAAAAACGCTATGTAAATCAGAAATCACCCCGTGGTGGCTTTGGGGTGTCTTTCGGGGCGCTGTCTGGGGTGCTTTTCGGCAGTATATGACTAGGCTTTCTTGACCAAATCAGAAGATGAACATGATCTTCGAGCAGTTCGAACAACTCGACGCCAAACCGCTCGCAACTCATTTGGGGGTCGTTTGGTAGCATTCCTTCGAGGTTGTTGAAGGCGGCGGACAATTTCGAGAAGTTTTATTCTAACCGCCCTAGTAGCCTAAAAAAGCTTGCGAGAATCGCTTCAAGCCGGTGAGAAGGTAGCATTTTGAACGCTCTTGCCAACGGTATACTTGTCGCAGGCCTGGGAATGGGCCGGCCCGCCAGCCCATTTTTCTCGGCCCGCAGCTAATTTTTCGGCCCGCGGCCCGACATTTTGGGTACATTTTTACCAAACCAGTATATGCCAACATTTAATTTTTCCGGAGTCACAAAAACGTGTTAGATCAAGTCCGTTAATCGTCTATAGGCTTGCACAACTGACTTACTAGGGAGGTATCTGAACTCGGCATCGAACTTTGAGAAGTCAGATACACCATTTGACGCGCCTTGTCAAGGGCATTCCAAATATGTAATAAAATCAACCAGAGCGTATAACCGTAAAAAGTTATGAGCATTTTAAGTTTTGCAGCGAATATCGCCGCTGCGATATGAGCCCTTCCCAGCGCACCCTGTTCATCGGTTCTGTGGCCTAGTGGTGTGCGCATGGGTCTCTGGGGTGTATGTCCAGGGTTCGGATCCACTCACGACTTTTATTTTTTGCTTTTTGACCAGTTTCTACTTTTTGCATTTCCAAGTTCGGGAATAAGTTTTTCTTGACTGTGTGACCCCGAAAAAGCACTAGCGATGATAAATAACCTCGGACAAGAAATCCAGGATTGGACGCTCTCTATATCCAAGTTGGCAAAATCGTCAAAAAACGCCCTTTTAAGACTCTGTACGAATTCGAAAAATGTAATTTGTCAAAAATAGAACAGTACATCTTGATCAGCAGAAAATTCCCTTTCGAATGAGCTATCTTACCTGCGCTTTACGCCAAATTCTCGAAAAGTCTTTGGCTAGCTGGGCATAACCCTACCCTTACACTGCATTCCAAAAATCTTTTTTGCGGAAGTTTTGGCAGCCGTATGTAATATAGCTCATTTGGAAAGAGCTTTCTTTGTTGAACAAAGAGCACCAATCAGTTTAGGCTAAATTCTATTCCGCGGGATGAGAAAGGGTCTCAAAGATACTGTTTTCACCATTTTGTCGATTTAAAATGCTCATAACTTTTTATCGTTATAGGCTCTGGTTGATTTTATTACATATTTGGAATCCCCTCGACAAGGCGCGTCGAATGGTGTATCTGACTTTTCAAAGTTCGATGCCGAGTTCAGATACCTCCCTAGTTAGGTATAGTATGTAACGAGAATTTATTCATAAAACAGCATACAACCAGTAAAAAGTTTAGTTCAATAGAAAAAAGTCTGTTTTACTTAGTGGAGTTCAATTTCTTCGACGCATACGTGTAGTTTGAACACTAATACACTTAAATAAGGCTAACAAGGCATATTCCCAGCATTTCTGAACATTTCCGGCCAAAAAAAGCAAAAAGCAAAAGATTGACCTCGGCCGGGATCGAACCCGGGTCGTTTTCCTGATAAATCAAATTTAAGCCAAACCCCGGATTTTTTACTTTTAACTGTTTAAACAGATGATTTAAGTTGAATATCAATAAGGAAAACCCTATAATGTATATTAAATTACCCCATTTAAGCTCAATATAACTTATTGGCAAGGTGGCGGGCGGCCCCGGCCGGCCTGGGCCGGCCCTCCATATCCTGACGGGCCGGCCCGGGCCGGCCCGCCAGCCTAAAATCCGGAAAATCTCGGCCCTGGCCCGGGCCGGCCCGCCAAATTCCCAGGCCTGTACTTGCCGTTCTCCAAAGCCGTCGGGGGACAGAGAACGGAGCGTTTTAGTGCCGAAAGGCGTACCTGTCGAAGTTGTCGCCGCACTAAAACCATCATATCTCGACCTGCACGGCGAATCCTGGATCGCGAAGGGCACAATTCGAAAGAGCGCGAAAAGTTCTATCTGCCCAACGAGTTACAGCTCTCGAGCAGCTTTGCCCAGCCTGCTAGCACGGTTAGAAAAAAACGTCTCGAAATGATCGGCCGTGTTCAACAACCTCGAAGGAATGCTACCAAACGACCCCCAAATGAGTTGCGAGCGGTTTGGCGTCGAGTTGTTCGAACTGCTCGAAGATCATGTTCATCTTCTGATTTGGTCAAGAAAGCCTAGTCATATACTGCCGAAAAGCACCCCAGACAGCGCCCCGAAAGACACCCCAAAAGCCACCACGGGGTGATTTCTGATTTACATAGCGTTTTTCATTAATATATAACAACTTCCGACGAGTCAGAACGGCAAACGAATCAACTCGTTGACGAATCGATTCGTTTCGATTCTGATTCGTGGGCAACGAATCGATTCGCCAACGAATCAACTCGTCTGACGAAATCGACTCGTCAGCGAATTGATTCGTTTGGCTGCGGATTCATTAGCAACGAATCAAATTAGCCGCGAATCAAATCGCGATTCGAATCAACTCGCTGGCGAATTGAATCGTTGAAATTTCCATTCGCCGGTTGCAAACCGGGCTTATTCGAATCAACTCGCTGCCGAATCAACTCGTATAACAACCCTAGCTATTGAATACCAAATCGGGGGCTCCTCGTCGGATATGCGGCCCCTATAGGGCCACCCCATAAAGGTGAAAAATTAATGAGTGGAGGTGGGAACACGCGCGCGCGGGTCCCGCAGGGATTCATTGCAACAAAACGGATCGACTCGGGATTTTTTGGTGCTTACGCTGGAATATTGATTTTTTACGGATTACTACGCCTCTGTTTCTTCTGCGTGCCGCCCCGAACGATGTAGTTCCGGACTTTTGACTCTTAATTTCATGGCATAATCGATGAAACCTCGAGCCAAAAACCGCTTAATTTTCTCCCAGGCGCAAAATCTAAGGTTCTTTGGCATTATCGGGGGGATCCAAGTTGTAACTCTTTTTAATTATTTTCTGCTTGAAACATAGTTAAATTTTACTTAAAACACCATTGAAACGTTATTATTTGTCACTTATAGAGAATAAAAGTAAATTCTGGAGAAAAATCGCCTTCATACAGCCTTAAGTAGTTTGTTATTTCGCATAGCGTAATAGGTTAAACCGGGGTAGCTCGGTAGCTGATTCATTCTAATAACTTTGATGAAGCTCCTGATCCAAAGCTCATGCTCATTAACCTCAAGCTCCCCGTTTCGCTTTAATTTTTGTCGAAAAATTCACACAGCGCAGCGAGCGAACACCCGGACCCCAAACTGAAAAAAGCCATGCATTTTCGGGTGGATGCGGGGAAGTGTTGACTAATTGTGTTAGTGAGCGGGCGTCGTCG